TCATCCACAGAGACCTGGTGCTTGTCTGGTTCCCATTCCCTGGTGCCTAGCTCTGGAGATGAATAGGATGCACAGAAATGCCTTGTGCCAATAGGAACTTCCCCCTCTGGGCTGTCTCCACAGAAGTCCTGCAGAGCCTTCCCAAGCTCAGCAGGGCAGTTCAGGGATGTGCAATTGCTGGGGTGGTGATGTGCACTGGCTGCTGGCCTGGGATTGCTGAACAGGGATCACCTCTAACTCTTCCCCAGGTTGACTTCCCCATGGGTTATAAAGGCATTTGCATGTACTGCTTCCAAATACTTCCCTGTTCCCATCTCATCAACTTTCTCCACACTCCTGGGCTCCTCTCTTGCCTCTTGAATTGCTCCACATCTCCTTAGCCTGATTTCTCATCTTTATCTCACACCTAGTGCAAGTCCTCTTTGTTTCAGTCTCAGTTCTCTCCCCGGCACCATTTTTTTCCAGGGCTGTACTTGTTCTTTCTGCTGAGTAGAGCCACAGGGAAACCCTGCCTGGCTCAGAGGCTCTGGGCAGATCTCAGGCAGCAAGGTCCTGCTGCCAGCTCCAGGCAAGGGGGGTTAGGGAGAGGAAGGGAGCAGCCAGAAGGGACATCTCAGGGGGTATCAGCTTCTTCTGGAAACAGAGAAGCCCTTTTTCTCTGCAGGATACCAGGAATGACCATTTCAAGGAATACTTGGAGGTCATGGGGAGAATAAATACTGCACGTACGAAACACCCTGTGTGTCACTAGGACTTTTCCCCAGGGAATGGCACAGCCTTATCCCAGAGGGATGTGCTGAGTTATCACCCATCGTTGGCTGGAGCAATGAAGTGAGTGCCTGGCTCCAGAGGACCATGCCAATCCCTGCAGCATCCCATCTCAAAAAGGATATTCCTCAGAGAAGAAGCCCCATGCTCTGCCAGGCATCATTGACTTCCACTGTGTCCCAACTGCCTATTTCAAGGTGCAGGACCTGGGCTGGTGTGTGGCCACTCAAATGAAATCCATTTGTCACAGCAAGCCCTGCACCCACTTTACTGTCAGCATTCTCAAGGGCTCTCCTCTCAGCACAGCCAGGTGGGTAATAAAGAAAATATTTAATTAGGTTACCATACAGGCCCATCTAATTCGATGCCTTGTACTAATAAGGGCCTGGAGAAAGTTTTCTCCACTTACCAGGTATGTGAAGTGACCTGTGTGGTTGGGAAGAGAGGCCAAGTTTCAGTGACAGAACAAGGTGTAATGGTTACAAACTGGTACACAGGAGATTTAACCTGAATATGAGAAAATCATTCTTTACTCTGAGAGTGACAGAGCCCTGGAACAGGCTGCCCAGAGAGGCTGTGGAGTCTCCTTCACTGGAGACATTCAAAACCTGCCTGGACATGTTCCTGTGTGATGTGCTCTGGGTGACCCTGTTCTGGCAGGGGGGTTGGATTAGATCAAGTCCAGAGGTCCCTTCCAGCCCCCACCATCCTGTGACTCTGTGCCTGGCCCTGCTGGGCTCCACCCACCAGCTGCTCTGTGGTCCCCACGCTGGCTCTGGCTGGCAGGGAATGGCAGGGGCTTCACTGGTGGGACACGGGGATGCCCAAGAGGTGTGCAGCAGTGCCTAGACCTGGGATGGGTACATTTGTCATTTTTCACTGTCACCTTTGCTGTGTCACACCCACACCAGGCCACAGCTTGGACCCTGAGATCACAGCTGTTTTTTTCTAGCTTGTGTCCCCTCTCCCTGAGTACCCACGGGGAGTTTGGTTGGAGGTCCCTGACACTTCTTCACAAGCCACAGGTAAAACATTTCCTCTCCCGACTGTGCTTGGCTGCCGCACGTGTCCGGTGGGCACCAAATGCAGGGCTCGTCTCTGACCCTCCCCTCCACGTCCTCAGGTGTCCCGGGACAGAAGCAGCAGGCGGGGCGGGATGTCCTGCCCAGTGTTGCTGGGAGCCCCGCGGGTCCCACTCGGGACAGGCGCTGCAGCCTTTTGTCACCATCTAGTGGAAACACGCGGCACGGGCTGAGCAGGCCCGGGGACACTCCCCTTGGGGGGTCCCCCCAGCTGGTCACCCCCCTTGCCCGGCTGGCCGTGGGGCACCGGCAGCCAGGGAAGGTGTCCCCAGCCCTGCCAGGCTGGGGAGAAGCCCTGGGGACGAGTCTCTGCTGTGCCAGAAACTGGGAATCCTTGGCAAATCCCTCCTGGGCTCCCCATTAAACCAGCTAAATTCCCTCTAAACGGTGAAATTAGGTCAGCACTCCCAAGCTGCAGTCATGCTGCAAGAGACAGCCGTGAAAGCACCTAAAATTATTTTACTCCACAAATAGAGCTGTTAAACCCACCCTTGTGGCCAAATTACTTCCCACAGATCTCCCTTGGCTGTGAAATTTCTGGTGGTGCTTGCACAGGAGTAGGGCTCTCTGGGACAGCCTTGGAATGTTGTGTATCCTCAGAAAAAGGCTGGCCTTGCTGCTGTTCCTGCATCCTGCTACCCACTGCTATGGCTGCTTGGAGGCCCTGACCACAGGTGAGTTATGGGGAACAGTCCAACCTAAATGCCACTGGTGCTCCAGCTACTTTCCTGAGCCCTGTGGCATCCCGGGACACAGCAGCAGCTGACGGGGTTGGGACACATCCTGACCTGCTCAGCAGTGCCTGGACTAACACAGTGCATGGAATAGCACAGCATCAGTTCTCACTTCTCCACCCAGGGGTCCTGCTGCACCCTCAGAGGGGCCAGTCCCGAGGACAACCTGCCAGCAGCAGGCAGACTGCTGGAGAGGAGATGGAGCACAGGCCATGCCAAGGTGTCCCCTGCCAGGGCTGGGAACCAAGAGAGACCAGCTGCCAGCCCAACCCTCTGCTGATCCCACCACTGGCACTATGTTATTAGACACATGTAATGTCCTGCTGCCAGAACTGCCCCTGGCTGAAGCAACAGCTGTTCCTTTCCCGTGGCAAACCAGCCCTTCCACAGCAGGGAGAGGAGCCAAGGGCAGCCCCAGCACTGGCAGCAGAGCTCTGCCAGCAACAATAATGTGGGATTTTGTTTGTGCCGGGATGGTGAGGAGGGTGCAATCAGCTCTTGCTCCAGGCAGTTAAAAAAATCCTGCCAGGACTCCCCCTCCATCACCCTGCATTCCCATGGGCCACCCTGGGTCTGTGTCACTGCTTCCTCTGGGGACAAGCAGACCTTGGAAAGGTGAGCAGCTACAGTCACCCATGACTGAATCAGGACCCCCCAGAGCTAACTGGACAGCCAGTTTGAAGTGGGAGGGGATGTAAGGTAGCTATGGGGTCCTTGGGGAGCACCACCTCAGGCAGGGGCAGGGGGGCAAGGCAGCCCTCAGCCCTGCCATCAGACAGGCATGTGAACCAGGGGAGTCACATTCTGCCTGGGGGTCATTCCTGCCCCGGCTTTATAGCCCCTGGGGTAGGACTCCCCAGCAAGAGAGCTGATGTCTTCTCCCAACGAAGGAAGGCCCGAGGGCCGGGCAGGAGATGGAAGGTGGCAAAGGCGGCGCTGGGGACCCTCCAGCCCCGTGGGGACCCTCCATCCCCAAGGCAAAGCAGAAGGCAGAAGCCCCCTCAAGCCGAGACCCACCCAG